TACTAGTCAATTCCTAACCCTAATTGAATACTAAACTCTAATATAAATAAACTTCAAGAAGCTACTTACTTGTATAATACACTCAACTCTAACCTAATAGTGGTTTTAACTCTAAACAAATAATAACGGTTTTTACGCATCCTCCATATAAGACAAAAGTAACATAGTAATTGTAGCATATAGTTCACAGCATAATAACAACTAAACCCAAACTTGAAGAATAGAATGGATTATAAAAAAGTTATTCAAAACAAAAAAAAAAAATTCAATAACCCATAATGCGAAATACACTTAGCTGAATAACTTATAATAATGCCAATTCATCTATTAATGTTGGTGATTAGGACAAGCATTTAAAGTTTTCCTAGCCTATAGTAACATATTTTTGTTCATTTAGTTGTTGGGTTTGATGCAAGTCACTCTCGCTATAGTGAAGATTAATTAAATTCTCAATATAATGATAAGTTCACTATAACAAGAATAAACTTGTATATCATTATCATTGTATGTGTCACCAAGAAAAAGCCTATCTGTAATGATAACACTTAGAACAGAATTACAGCATATAGTTAATATTTGAACATAAAACAAATTGAAAGAACTATATATACTCATCCAAATTGAACATGTTTTTCTTGTCACAGTATAAACTTCTAAATTAGTGATATGAACTATTCAAATCCTTATAATACGGATTGTACAAATATAATCCGTATCTATACAGATTGATTAATCTTTTGCAGAGTTAACTATAGTTTGTTTGCAGTTAATTGTAGTTAACTATACAGTAGTTCGCAATATACAAAAATTATACGGATTATATAGATCACATAAAAATATGGATTTTAAACAAGTATTTGGATTGCTGATTAATAAATCACATCTCTATTATAGATAGCAATTAAAATAGTTCAATCATATGACATATATGTAATACATAAAATTAATTCATAAAACCAATTAATAAAACAAAGCTCATTGCCATTATAGTGTTTATTGAACTTCAACTAAGTTATAATACATGCAATTTAGTACAATTTACTTAAAAAAAAATCATTCTAATACTAAGTATTTTAATATTGAATTCATGCCTGATACATTTTAGCATAATGCCCATATTGTTTACACTTTCCACATATACGTCTCTTCACAACACTCGTCGTTTCATTATCACTATCGCCACTCATATTTTTTATTATATTTGTTGTGTTAATATTGTTTTGTAATACCTGTCCACTTTTAAAAGATCCATACTCAATATTAGACTTCAATCTTTTTGATGGCTGGCCCTTATGCTTAACAATATTTGGATTATTTATGACAATCTGATTGTCATCATTATTTGTTTGTTGATTTTTGTCTTGTACGTCATTTAGAAATAATTTAAGAGTATTTACTAGCTTCCGCGATATATCAGATTTGATAGCCAAATCGATAGCCTTTTTTGATAATCCAAATAGTTCAGCATATACAGCTTTTTTAGGCTTTGTTGTTAAGTACAAATTATAAGAGCTTGGTTGAATAAAAAACAAGTTCTCGAATGTAATATTAGGTTGAATGCCTTCTGATCTGACTGTACAACAGACTTTGATTGTTGATGTTTGTTGTAAAAGTTTTCTTTGATCTATATTTGGTTCCAGATACTACCTAGACAGAATAAGAGCCATGTGAAAAGTGGCTGCTTGGGAATAAGTAAAAACACAAAAAAAATAATGACATAACAATCCTTTGTTTAATAATAAGAGACATGTACACAAATGTGTACCATCATTTAATAATACTACATAGTTTCCAATACCTGTTCTTCCAGTAGCTCTGACATTTCATACTTCTAAGACTTCATCTTGATTAATATTTCTAATAAGTGATTTGAAAAGAATTTGATGAATGTCTTGTTCCTGTTCCTGAAGACCAATATTGACCTCTTCGTCATCATAGTCAGTCTATAATAAATTAAACAAGTATTAACATAGATGTCTATATTAAATTCAAATTATAGTTGCCACCAAACTATTTGAAATAGCCCAAACTATGTGATGATTAGCATCACATGTAGGCAAAGTTAGGTTAAGGCCTAGTTAAAACTATATGTAATGCTAATTTGATAGTTTAGACAGCCAAATAAAGGAAAAAGAAAATAAAAACAACTTTCCTCTATTAATTTTTGCCATTCTAAGATATGATCAACATCATAACACACTGATTGATTCATTTGCAAATGCTGTTTACCTAGCATAATAGGCATTAAGAATTTTTTCATTATGTCATCTATTTGTCTAAAAAGCATAATATTTAATGTTGGCAATCCAACTGTTGGTAGTGCACTATGCTCGACTTTAAATTTTTCAAAGTGCTTCTCATTTTTGACATAATTATTAATGTTAACTAACAAGTCACATAGAGATGTCGCCCGATCAACCTTATTATGTATTTGCTTGTTGATAGACTCTATCCTCTATGTGCTTTGAGCACCAGCTGTAAATTGATTACATATCCACGATATTCCCCATGACTTCTTATTAACATAAAGTGTTTCTGACATATATTTTGCCACTTCTAGATATTGATCAACCAAATGTGACCATCGAGCCTCAAATAGCTCACTGCATAATGAATTTTGACAAACATAGAACTTTTGACGAAATTCTTCAAAATGGGATCTCAATTTACATTTAAGCTTTTTTCGGAGATTCATATCAATATGGAAAATACATAATAAGTGGTTTGTATTAGGATGTATTTCTTTAATTATACTAATCATGGATGGATCAGAATCGGTAAATATGACTTTGGGATTGATGCCTGTTTTCTCAAATAAAGTAGTAAAAATCCATTGAAAAGTATCGAGAGTTTCATCATCTATAACAGCAGTAGCTACGATTCTTGATCTGAAATGATTATCAATAACTATCATGACAAAGAGTATCATTTGAAAGCGATTTGTGTTGGATGTGGTGTCAATAATTACAACATCATAGAAATTTTCATATAAAGACCTTTGTAATAAAGACATCCATAATAACCTATTTAATCTTTTAAAAAAAGGATCTAAGTGTGGTTTAACCATCCATAAAGGGTCAAATTCCTTCTAACTTAATAACATTTGAAGCATTTGGGATGCATCCGAGTTACCTGGATTATTTGTAGCTCGAAACTGATATACTGCATTGTAAAGGTCTTTTTTAAAGATGAGGTTATTGAGATAGTCATGTTTAAGTAAAGGGTAAATAGATCCAGAGTCCATCCGGCCTTGAATTACATATTTTTCAATGTCAGATAACATTTCCAGCATTAATTTTCTGAATTTTGGTGCTGTTTCATGGATAGTTGTACTAAGCATGTGATTATGGTTATCCACAAATGAAGTAATTTTTAAAATATTGCTTTTTTTAGAGCAGTACACATTAAGCCTCCAGGGACATTCTGTCTGTTGTGAAACTGCATTTCGCCATTTAGTGGAGTCACAAGTTACTTGAGGATTGTGAATACCTGATCTTGAACATTCCAAAGTAGCACATTATATTACATCTCCATCCTTTTGACTAGTTTTAACCCTATAACTAAATTCTTTTTTTTTGAATAATGATCCATCCATGCTTTAAATTCTATACAGTTTACAAAGGTTAGGTCATTATTTAATCCTGAAGTATCTATCAGATTCTCACTTTTCTCTAAATCTGTGTCGATTATAATTCCATTATCGATGTTATTATTTTCTATTAAGGACCCTTGCTCAGAAGACTGACGATCACTACTAAAATTGGTGACCTTTTAAAAAAGAAGTTGAAAAAGATTAATGTTTAATGTAAAAATCATAAAGGCACTAGAAAAAAGCTGCTCTTACTGGAGATAATAAAAAATCAACAGGAGAATTGATGTCTACTGGCGTTAAAAATAATATAGACATAATGTTTAATGACGGTCCTGGTAAAACAGGTGACATATGATCCAGCGACAATTCTGATAAAACCAGGTTCTATAAAAATATAATGTAATGTTAATGTCAGGTTATTACTACCACAAAAGTGCCAACAATATATATTCTAAATTTTGGGTACAATATAAACAAAATCGGTAGAAATGTCTTACAAGAGGTAATAACGGTTTTGGTAAAACCAGGGACATAAGATTCAGCGACAATCCTGGTAAAACTGGGTTCTACAAAAATATAACAATTTAAGGTTCCAACAATATGTATTCTAAATTTGGGGT